TGTACCATTCCACTTTTACCACTGAGCTCTGACATAAAGGCGTGCCATTCCCTTCAATGGCTCGGAAAACTGTGCTGTATAGATTTTGGTTTCTAGCTCTGGGATTCCCTACCTTGTGTCATCACCCAAGCTGGAAACACAGGCACAGGGCTGCTCCCATCCTTTCATCCTTATGAAAATTTTGAAGGGAATGGCACGCCTTTATGTCAGAGCTCAGTGGTAAAAGTGGAATGGTACACTATCGCCAGGATTTGGGGCTGGGGTACCCTACATCATGCTCCTTACTTCTATCCCACCAGTTGCTATCCAGCACATGTTTCCTCATCTATTTTTATTATCTGTACAGTAAGTTCCCTTGTCCTTGGGAAAGACAAATCTACTAGACTTGTCAGTAGTTCAAAGATAGGGAACACAGATGGTACAATCTGACTGTTCCATATTTGTTCTCAACGTTTGTCACTGATAGCCATCTCCCTCAATACTCACACTTCCCCTCCTCTGGTTGAGTTTCTAATTACAGGTGTCACAGTAGGCTTCTTCACATGCGTCATTTCACTTCAAGTATTAGGGTTTGTCCTAGTCTCCAATCTATTAGTTAAGACTCATTCAAAGTAATTAATCTTAGTGGCAGAATCAAGTATTAGTTTCTTGCTATGGCCCTTTTGACAACCCCATTATTTGCGGTTGTACCTACCATATTAGCCTAATCAATGGCAATCCCTAGAATATCTGCTCAATTTTTTTATTGGCTCCTCTTTCAAAGTTCCCATTATTAGGCCATGGTATTTGGCCAATCTTAAGGGCCACAGAAGCAGCCTGACTAGGAAAATGCAATATTCCTCATCATCAAGTTGCTCCCACTGCATCGGTCACAGTGGCACTGGCATAATATTTAGCAAACTGGGCATTCTACTTTGCCATCCGTCTTAAGTTTGGAGCCAAGAGATGCCCAAACTATTTGATATAGTTGCATAATCTATCTGTAGGCTCCTTTTGTACGTCAGTACTGTCCCTCAGTAATACATTATCTACATGAGTGTAATGATTATGGAACCAAATTCTATACCCTGAAGCAGATGTGTCTTTTGTATCTGGTACATCCTTTGGAACTCCTCTGTCTCGATCAACCTTTGTCCCCTACACCAATTTTAATTCAGAACTCTCCCCATGATGGCCAAACAACCTACCAAACCCCTAAATTCAAGGGTTTAATTTCTGGCACATGCAACACTTTTTGCCAATGCCACCTGTTCATCCGCTGGGCTCTGGCCATTTTCAATAAACTCACTCCGCATATGAAATCATCAAACCATACTCATTTGATTCCATGAATGCGTTTACATATTTTTTGCCACCTCAACCTTTAACCAGCTCACAACACCTTAAAGTTACTCTAATACCGTTAACATTGAGATTAATCCACTTACTTGGGAAATACTTCCTTACTGAATAAGCGAGTGCGCTGGATTTAGTATTTTGTATATTTTGGCCCCAACAGCACTGTGTAATGTATGCATGTTCAGGTGAGTGCAACCCTCTTTGTTTCATATATATATATATATGTGTGTGTTCAGGGCTACATTGATTGTGACTGAAGTAAGATTTGTGTAACAGAACCTGAGATAGGAACAAGTCAGTTGAGGTGTGCCGAAACCGATGGATGCTGTAGGCCAGTAATAAAAGTGGGCATACACTAGTAGAGTATGTTGAACTAAGGGAGTGGTGGGTGGGGCATCTGTTTGTTGGACCAATCACGGCAGCTGATAATCGGACCAAGGTCCATTACGCCCCTCCCACAACTTCAGGCCAAGCCTTCCAATTTGTGTTCGGGGCTACATCGGTTGTGACTGAAGTAAGATTGGTGTTACAGAATCTGAGATAGAAACAAGTCGGTTAAAGTGTGCCGAAACTTGTAGGCCAGTAATAAAAGTCGGCAAAAAGGAAACATAACATGCTCAAAATATATTTATTGAAAAAGAACATTATACAACATAGCCACAATTAAGAAGACATTTTTACATATGCCTTTCCTGTACTAGTTGAGGTATGTACGTTATGTATGCTGAGGACTTCTAGGGACCTAGTGATTTAATGATATGGACTGGAATGTCCTGGCTCGATGCTGTAGAGGCGCCCCCTATCCTAAATGAGTGTCCTGAATACTTGCTAGGGTCCATGCTTAGCCTTGATAACAATAAGTATATGTATAACATGAATTTGGATGTATTGTGGATAGCCCCGTAAAGTGACAAAAGCGACAGAGAGGTGAGATGTGGTATGGTGAGGAGGTAGGAATCGAAGACCTTCACTGGGCACAAGTTATTGTTCGTGGGGTAATATGGTATGTGGGCAGGTTGACCCTGTTTTGGTCACTGGTAGCGCAGGTATGTAATGATCTAGATGTTTCCAAGGTAGGAGACCCGGAGGCAGATTTGTGCGTTATGTTGCCTACTGATAGTGAATTCCCTTGGCCTCAGGAATCCATAAAAAGACATGGCGTTTTTTATGACTGAGTTGGTGAGGGGTTCGAAAGAAGCTGAATCTATTAGATCAGACAAATCTTTGAACAACTGTTTGTTGATGGGTAGCCTTTGTTGTGGTGTAGAACCATTAGCCTTGTATATGTCCTTAAGTATGGTCCTAATAGGATATGAGGAGAGGAAACTTGAGTTGTTGGGGAAGGGGGAGTACATATGATGCTGGATGCCTGTCAGCTATAATTTAATTGTGTTGTGGGATAGCTTTAACTTGAGGTGGCAAAAAATGGTGAACGCCACCAGGGATGTTATTTCAAACATGCTAACCAGGTGATGTTCTGCCATGAATTTCCTGTATAAGCAAAATACCCTGTCATATGCAGTATGAGAGGGCCAGTTTTGTTAAGGTCTGGCTATGTTGTAGTAATTTGACTAGTCTAAGATTAGTTCCTGGAACAAGGTGGTCAGACGTGAAGGGATTCTCAGAAAGCCTGAAATTAAAAACGAGGCAAGCAATCAGCTGCAGTGTTTAAAACTCCTGGAACATGACAGCAAGTCATGTGGCAAATTGCCAGATTGTCTAAATGGCGCATAACTGTTCTGACCACAAATAGCCCCAAGCCACCGCTACAATAGGTTATACCTCAAAAAGAGCTGAGTTCCTGTAGAACCCTTCTATTTCTAGTACCTAAACTGGCCAATTACCCCAGAGCCATTCGTCGCCAAATATGGCTGTGAAGCCTGTGGTAGCTGCTGCGTCTGTGACAGGGGAGTGTACTGAAACCTGCTGGAGAAGCAGTTAGAAAGAAATATGTTCCACATGAGTAGGTCCGCCATTAAGGGAGATACGGCTTAGGGCGTCAGGAAATATGGGAAATAGGCTAAGGAGTCTGGAGATGAAAGCTCTACCCTGCGGGATGACCCTCATAGCTAAGTTCAGGGAGCCTAACAATGACTGTAATTCTTTCTGGTTACAGGAGCTGGTAAGCATATAATAGTTGATATCATGGCAGATGCTAGTGACTTTCTCATGTGGAAAGCTAGCTTCCATGGCCGCTGAATCCAGACATATCCCTAAGAAATTAATAAAGGTTTCAGGACCCTCTGTTTTCTTTGGTGAGACTGGTACCCCCAGTGTATTGAATAACGTAACTGCTTTCCCCAAGCTGATCGAGGGGGAAGAATTGTTTTCAATGTATAAAAAATAGTCTAGATGAGGGTATGGCACCGGCACATATTCAGGAGGAACCAAAACAACATCTTTGCGAAAGTATCAATAATTCTAGGACTACTATTTGACCCAAAGGTAAGTCTAGTGAAAAAAATAATATAGGCCTTTCCATTTAATGCCGTGCAGTTGCCATAACGACGGGTGAATAGGCAATAGCTTAAAGGCGGTGACAATGTCAGTCTTGCTGAGCCAGGCCCCCAAGTCTGCGGTCAAGATAGCGTTTATGGCATTGTCAATTGTGGTGTAATGTAGAGAGAATTCTTCTGAAGGGATTAATGAGTTAAGGCTTGGGACCCCTGAGGAGTGTGGTGCTGAGAGATCTATGACCAGTCTTTGTTTGCCTGAGATTTTCCCAGAGACTAGGCCAATGGGATTAGTTTTCCAGTTGGAAAAAGGAGGCTTTGTGAAAGAACCTAGTAAGAACCCTTGCTCAACCGCTATCTGTAATTGCATCTCTACGGCCTCGGTATAGGCCATGGCTGAAAGGAGATTGTTACACCCCAATATCCCTGTTGACATGTGAATAAGGCCTGTGTGGAAACCCTGGGAAAAAACAGTTATCAAGAACTCCACAAGGTGTTTTGAAGGATGTGTGGACAGTAGGCTAGCTGGCATACCAAAATTAACCAAGGTCAAGTAAGTTTTATAATGCATTTTATTAGGACACATGAGCCCTGAAACAGTGAGAGCACACATGCTCTTCCTCTCGCTAACATTTTCAATCTCTCCCTTTCCTCTGGCACATTTCCCTCTGCCTTCAAACATGCAACCGTAACCCCAATTCTGAAAAAGCCCAACCTTGATCCCAACTCCCCATCCAACTACCGCCCTATCTTGCTACTGCCATTTGCCTCCAAGATCCTCGAGAGAGTTGTCTATGCCAGATTGACAGACTTTCTTGAATCCAACTCTCTGCTTGACCCCCTTCAGTCTGGATTCTGCGCTGGTCACTCTGTCGAAACTGCTGTGACCAAAGTATCCAACGATTTAATTGCTGCTAAATCTCGCGGCCAATACTCTATCCTAATCCTCCTTGATCTTTCTGCCGCCTTTGACACTGTTGATCATCAACAGCTTCTTCACATTCTCCGTAACTTTGGTCTATGGGATTCTGCTCTCTCCTGGTGCTCCTCCTACCTCTCCCAGTGCTCCTTCAGTGTTTCTTTCTCTGGCTCTGCCTCTTCTCCCCAACCCCTCCCTGTCGGCGTCCCCCAGGGTTCTGTCCTCGGCCCCCTACTGTTCTCTATCTATACTGCCTCCCTTGGTAAACTCATCAGCTCTTTTGGCGTCCAATACCATTTATATGCAGATGACACGCAAATCTACCTGTCCTCCCCTGATCTCTCTCCGCCCACCTTGACTTGTGTGTCTGACTGCCTCTCTGCTATTTCCAACTGGATGGCTGCTCACTTCCTTAAACTCAACCTGTCCAAAACAGAACTTCTAGTTTTTCCTCCCCCAAGTGCTGCTACTCCTGTGTCTGTCTCCATCCAAGTCAACGGCGCTACTATCACCTCTACCTCCCAGGCTCGCTACCTAGGAGTTGTTTTTGATTCTGATCTCTCTTTTACTCCCCATGTTCAATCGATAGCCAAATCCTGTCGCTTCCAACTCAAGAACATAGCGCGCATCCGCCCATATCTAACGCCGGACGCGGCTAAGGTACTGGTTCATGCTGTTGTTCTCTCTCGCCTTGACTATTGCAATCCCCTTCTCACCGGTCTTACATGTTCCCAGCTTGCACCGCTGCAATCTATAATGAATACGGCTGCGAGGCTTATTTTCCTGACCGGTCGCACCTCCCACGCCTCCACGCTCTGTCAGTCCCTGCATTGGCTTCCAGTTAGATACAGGGCCCAATTCAAAATTCTGGTGCTTGCTTACAAATCCCTACATAATGCTGCTCCAACATACCTATCCTCCCTCATACACAAGTATGTCCCGCTCAGCCCAAGACCTACTCCTATCCTCTGCCCGGATCCCCACCTCTGATGCTCGCCTTCAAGACTTCTCCAGGGCTGCACCTATTCTGTGGAACTCCCTTCCCTCCTCAATCAGACTTTCACCCAGCCTCCATTCCTTCAAAAATTCTTTGAAAACTCACTTCTTCATTAAAGCGTATCAATTAAACTGTCGGCAGGTTTCTCATCCCCCACCCCATGACTCTGTTCCTTCACTTGTCAAAAATGACCTACCAAGCACTCAATAAACCCTTCTGTAACAAACTATTTAATTCCCCTACTTTAACCCTTTGTGTCACTATACCCCACTCCCTCGAGCATGTAAGCTCATCGAGCAGGGCCCTCAACCCCCTCTGTTCCTGTACGTCAGTGGTCTGATCTCAATTATGTGTCTGTTAGTCCACCCATTGTACAGCGCTACGGAATTTGTTGGCGCTATATAAATAATAAAATAATAATAATAATAATAAAACAGACAACAGGCACTATAACCACATGATCCTTCATGAAAGTTGTTACAAATTTGTGACTTGCCAAGATATACAATTGGGCGGCCTAGTTTATCTTTGCTCTGTTTATCAACTCTCGAGGTGCTTGGGGATGCTGTACTGGGGGGTGAGGTCAGGTGAAACTAGACAGAAATTTGCTGAATGTGCGGCAGAAGCTCAAATTGTACAAGCTGGGGTCCTTAGAAGTGTCTGCAAAAAAGCTCTGTGTCCAGCTGGCTCCAATCTGTACTGACATTATACTGGGCCAGAGCTGCAGATGCCCTTGCTGAGAATAACCAGTGGTAGTCATAAAAAGACGTACCACCGTATTTGTTGTTCATGTCAACTAGCTGGTTCATATAGAGGTACAGCTCTTCCCTTCTATGTTGGTGAACTGAACATAAAACATCCCGATATATACCAAAAGCAATCACAAAATCTGGGATCAACAGCTTCTTGTTGAGTCTAGGGTCTCTTCCTTTCAGAACTACCGATATATCCGAGATGAAATTAACTTCTCTGCCTTCCAGAATGTCCTTTTTAGATTCACCGGTACCATGTGGGATGGATTGATAACATGTGATCTGGAAACAGCAGGCACACTATTACCTGGTTTTAACTGGGCCGTGTTTGGAAGTACATTATTATGTTATGTTATTATGTATATAGCGCCAACAAATTCAGCAACGCTTTACAGTGGGTGGATAAACAAACATGTAGTGGTAATCAGACACGTTTGACACACAGGAACAGAGGGGTTGAGGGCACTGCTCAATGAGCTTACATGCTAGAGGGGTAAAGGTAAGGATAGTATTAGACCTAAGTCTTTAGCAGAGCGTAAGGGCCTAGACTGGGCATACATGTGTATTAGGGAGGATAGATAGGTGGGAGCAGCATTACGTAGAGCTTTAAAAGCAAGAACCAGAATTTTAAATTGAGCCCTATATCTTACAGGAAGCCAATTTAGGGACTGACAGAAGGGTGAGGCGTGGGAGGTGCGGGCGAACAGGAAGAAGAGCCTCGCCGTCGCATTCATTATGGACTGTAACGGCATACGTTGGTAGTATGTAAGACCACTGAGAAGCAGATTACAGTAGTCAAGGCGATAATGTTTTTTAAAGTTTTTTTTTCTTGTGTTCTGTTTTTTCCCCTCCTTTGTGCTGCTGCTTGATTAATTTAGGGAGTGTTCCTTAATTGCCACCTGTGTGGGATTTGTATTTCCATATAAGCACACCCCAAACTGAGTTTGCTCACATTGCTTGAAAGCAGACTCTATTAAGTAGACTCAAGTAGGAGTTAGAAAACCAAGAGATAAAACAAACAAGGGGTTTAAACTAACAAAGTAATTGTTTTACTGTTCTGTATCTGGGGAAAAGAGTGTTAGCAAGATTGTTGGTTTGACTCAATGCACATCTTGTTGCATGTATGCATGCCTGGATGTACCCGTCCAATGTCCATACCTTTGTGACAAGTGTGTGTGACTGGCTTCTCTGGAAGCTCAGATTTTAGATTTTGAGAAACAAATTGCAACATTGAGGGAGATCGACAATCTTGAGAGGAGTCTGTTGCTCACTGAGCAGAGTTCAGTGGGGACAGGTAGTGGAGTGGGAAACAGGTACATAGCTGTGTGACGGTGGGACGAGGAACCGGGGGATTGAGGAAAGGGCTAGCTAGTCCTGATTTTGTGCAACCTAGCCAATTTGCCTGTTTGAGTGAAGATGTTGGGAGCATCAACTCAGGAGTAGCTGTATTAGAGGAATAATAACAGCCTAGGGAACAGCCCCTCTAGTACGGGTGGGGATGAAAATGTACTGAAGGCTAGGCAGGTTGTGGTGGTAGGGGACTCTATCATTAGGAGGGTAGAAAGGGCAATCTTCTGCTATGATCTGCTCAACCGGACAGTTTGCTGTCTCAAAGGTGCCCGGGTCCCACGTGTTGCTGACAGAGTGGATGGATTAGAGAGGGGCTGGGGATGACCCAGTGGTCATGGTCCATGTTGGCACCAATAAGAGGAAGATGGAAGGTCCTAAAGAATGATTTCAGGTAATTAGTTAGAAAAAACAGAGAGAAAAAAAACAGGTGTACTTACTGCCTCTTATTTAGTACACTCCTGCACTTTTTTAACCCATAAAACTTAATATTTACCCTTTTCAACTGCTCCTGATATTTCAATTATTTCCAATTTACTTTTTCCCAGCTTAGCAATGATCTGTCTTCTCCTCCTCTTTATTTCCTCCTTCTCCCTCAGTACACATAAAACCATGCTGACTTTTGCTTAAAACCATGTTCTTCTCAAGGAATTCTTGAATAATAACCTTTCAAATACTTTTCCAGCCACAGACGTTAAGTGTACAGGTCTATAATTTCCAGGCAAGGATTTTGAACCCTTTGTGAATATAGTAACCGCATCTGCCTTCCTCCAATCCTCCGGAACACTTCCTGAAAGAAAAGAATCTTGAAAGATTAAAAACAAAGGTTCACTTATTTCTACACTTAGTTCCTTAAGTACTCGTCAATGAATACTGTTAGGCCCTGGAGCTTTGTTTATATTAAAGGATCACTATAGGGTCAGGAACACAAACACAATCCTATAGTGTTAAAACCACCATCTAGCCCCCCTGGGGCCCTCATGCCTCCATAAATATAGCAAAATCTTACTGTATTCAAGCCTGAAGCTGTAACTCTGCATGCTGTTTGCCTCAGAAAAACAAGCACTCTGCTGACATCATCAGAAGTGGTAGTCTGATCCAATCACAATGGTTCCCCATAGGATTGGCTGAGACTGACAAAGAGGCAAATCAGGGGCAGCATGATTCAAACACAGCCCTGGCCAATCAGCATCTCTTCATAGAGATTAATTGAATCAATGGAATCTCTATGAGGAAAGTTCAGTGTCTGCATACAGAGTGAGGAGGCACTGAATGTTTGGATGCATTTTAGGCAGCCATGACCCAGGAAGGATCTCTAACAGCCATCCGAGGAGTGGCCAGTGACATTATCACTAGGCTATAACGTAAACACTGCATTTTCTCTGAAAAGACAGTATTAAAGGCAAAAAGTCTGAAGTTAATGATTCTACTCCAGTCCACTCATATGACCATCACAAACTCCTAACTTTTATGTCTATGTTTGTATATTTGTAAAGTGATTTGAGTCTCACAGGGAGAAAAGCACTATAAAAATCACAAATTATTATTTTTAACGTATAAATTGCCTTGGTAGTGGTTGTACCCCATCTGGGTACCTCCACCCAGTATCGCTTCCCAGCTGGAACCAGGGAAAACTGGCTCTCTTCTGCCTCAATTGCCGTGGCTTGACTGGGGTTCTCCAGGAGCTCTTCCATTCGACCATGCTGCACGCAGGTATTGTCCTCATTCAGCTGCTACCCTTCTTCCAGGCAGGTATCGTCACCTCTACCTATTCCGCTGCAGCCTTTCTTCCAAGCAGGTATCCACCTCTGCCTGCAATGTGATTTGTATTGTCTTTACAAAGGCACTTGCAGCTCTCAGGCCTAGTTCTCTTGATTTATCTCAGGGCTAGAGGGATGATGCAGCCAGCCAACAGGCAAGACAACTCTGTGACTAGAATCTCTAAAAAGCCACACAGGACACCATTCCAAATGGAACTAACATACAATACTTTATTTTACTTGGGACTAGCCCATACATTTATTACATATACATTGCTGTGACAAACATAATAAAATTCAAATAACCAAAACGTCACAAAATATACAGGAAATTATAATAGCATAATAACATATTTATAAAGTGATGGGGAAGACATTAATTAACAGAACAAATCTCTTCTGCCTGCAAAATTAGAAGTATGCAAATTATGAATCCTTGCTATTTAACGAACAGGTGGCACTGCACAGGCTCCACAGCCAAATCCACCTGGTTGATTGCAAGCATTAGGAAGACAGGAGAACACACTAACATTAACCTCAAACAACCACATTACACACACACACCCTGCAAACACAAAGGAAACAGGGTGACATAAACATAGGAATAGTCCAGGGTCCTACATAAAATGTCCTTATGAAACCTCAGGTGATGGTGAGTACCATCACAGTGGTAACTTTTGATAATAG